TAGAGTATTCAGATCTTTGAGATAGGTAAAAAATGTTGATTTGTGTGTAGCATTCATATCCTAAATGATTGGATCATTTTTTGAACACAGCCAAAGGTGTTTAAAGTCTTTAATATTGGACTCCTTTACTCATCACAGCTAATTTTTGGATCCTTGACTTACTTAAAAGAATAATACCCTTATCTCTGTCTGATAAGATTACAGCTTATGTATCTACAAAAGATTTATTGCATAATCTCTTATCCTTCCTTTATCATGATATCTCTACATCTTGTTATGAAATGTGAAAAAATAGAAATGCTATGCTTAATGAATGAAAAATTACAAATAACATTAAAGAAGACTACACTGTCTCTTGAATCTTCTCAGGTTTTTCACACTCTTCTCCCTTCCCCTCAACTTTAAACCCCACCTCTTTTATAGCAGCTAACGTCTATGACTCTCATTGGTCAAATTTTTGGATCAGCAGTAACCACACCCTCCCTTCTGGACGTTTGATAGCTATACAATAGTTTAGTCTTGTTAAGTTTTCTTTTCTTTTCTTTTTTGTTTGTTTAGTTCGATAAAGTGCAAGGTTAGTATTGATAAAATAGTTTAGTTTAAATTAATTTATAGATATTTTTTTGTATTTTCTATTCTATTATATGTATTCAGTATTATATAAATTCAATAAAGATCATGCAAAACTGCTACACTTCAAAAAAAAAAATATTCGTCAGGATATCCTTGAAAAAAAACTCTTTCCCACTTTACTCAAAACCACTATGGGAAAAGTTACTCAAAAAAAATTTAACAATTCAAAAACTCAATATAACACTCGTAGTCATCTTGACTCACCTGTTGACGAAAAAGTCATTAGAGCTATCTCAAAAGAAAACAGTTACTGTTCTAAATCATCCTAGTTCTACTGATAATAATAATACTGATATTTCAAACGTTGCTTCTGGCTCCCAAGGTAATATGGAAGTAGACTCCCTACTCAAAACTGAGAATAAAAGTGCTTTAACTCCAGTCACTCCTAAACTCACTAACACTATGAACGAGGACCAAACTCATGACTCATTGAAAACTTAGTTGGAAAAAGTAGTTCTTCACCTAATATACTCTCATTTGAATGTATTCGTGATGTCTCTTCTTTCTATATTTACTGCTCACGAAACCTTTCTTCCTGGCAAATCTAATAGAAAAAATTAACTATGCTTGTGAGATGTTCAGTGGCGTTAACTTTCTGTCTTTCATTGGTGCCTCTGTGAAGCAAGACTCTGCAAATAAAATGCTCAAGATTATCCAATTTGATTTCTTCACAAGTTTAGATGCCAACAATGCGCTCTGTGTCAAATTTTCTAATATAGAAGATTTAAAATTAATACCACTTGAACGTTTTACCTTATTTAGGTTTAACTCCAATTTAGCAATCAAGGTTACAGAGATCCCCATTTCAACTTCTGAGAGATCATCTGATCAATATTTGCCAAATATGATAATATTCTAAGAGATTCCATGATTACCAAAAACTTATGGTAACAAGCAACTATCTCCTTTGCAGAAGACACTGATATGACAGTTTTCAAAGATATTAAAGGTCAATTCATTCTTAAAGACTTAGTCTGAGTATATCTCTGCTCTACTACAACAGAAGAAATTCAACTACGTTCAAAATTTGCACTCAAACTCACAAATTTGCCCAAAGACACCTTCAGACGTAAACTAGAATCTATTGCAAAAGCAGTTAACGTAATGACATAAGTAGTTCCTAAAGCCTACTCAAACTATTATAATTTACAATATGCCTTCATTCATTTTGAATCTAAAGAAGATTTATTTGCTACAGTAAATGGCGACCAAATCATTCTTGATGATAAAAGACTTGTTTAGACACAACCTGATACCAAACTATATGCGCATTGCATTGCACCAGAACATGACTCTCGTTAATGTAGAAAGAAACATGCTGCACTATAGGACTGTCAAACCCAAGATCTATATCAGAGGTTTAAACCCGTCTAATTCAAAAATTATTCAGCTTCTCCTAAGCCTGTATGACTTACATTTGTATATGACAAAGATACTGTGTTTGATCCAAAAAATTCTCAATCCTTCACTAACCATACTCACCATAATATATCACCCTCAAACAATCCTCCTATCATTCTCGTTTACTTCAAACTACCTTCTAATAACAAACACAACAACAATAACAAAAATAAAAATAATAATATATTATCTTTAGATGACTCGATTCACACTCACAAATCCTGGTCAGAACAAGTTGAGGATAATTATCTTTCTCTACAGCAATAACGTGACAACCAATCTGTATAGAAATCATCTGATGCTATAAAAATAATGCTTAAATTAGATGTGCTTACAGAAACGCTTGCTAAAATTCATACAGACCTCACTTTTACAGTCCGTCATCTTGACACTGTTGAACGGCATTTAAATATCTTCACTTTTACTCCTGAGAAAATTGCTGAGCTAAACACCGCTAATAAAGGAAAAGGCAAGGCTGAAATGGAGACAGATGAATTTCAATATGAAGAGGGTATTGATATCTCTGAATCCAAGATCGTAGAATATGAAGAGAAAATCCAATAGTTTGCATAAGAAAACAAAAAACTCAACTCTGCGCTTGAAGCAGTCATTCGTATCCAAAAATTTGTGTATGGAAAAACTAATGAATCACTTTGTACACCTATTCTACAACTAAACAAACCAGGTGCAATTTGGGTTAATGATGATGGTACTAATTCACTCCACTCCAATCTCTTCTTTTAAATAATTTTTATGAATATACAAAATAATTATACAAATGTTAAACCTACTTCACTTTCTTTAACATTGCAACTCATAATACTCGTTTACTACTCGACCCACATAAGCAACAACTTTTATTTGACCTTTATTCTATTAACCATTTAGATATTATTGCACTTCAAGAAACCAATTTTATTACATCTTTTTATCACTTTCTCCTAAAATCCATTTGCAATAACAAATTTATACCTTTCTTTTCTACAGACTCAGACACTTGACGCTCAGATTTTAATGTGAGATTTCTCGTTAGAAAATACCTCACTGATCATATTTTTTATCATTCTTTAATCAAATTTTTTGCCTAGATCTTTAATTCAAAAACAAAAATAAATTTCATGTCATTAACGTATTCCTATCATGTTCTAATGAGCCTCTTCATTTAAAGACAATTAACCAGATGTGTTTTCTCATAGATGAAGTAACTAAAGCTAATTTTTATACTATTATTTTAGAAGACTTCAATACTGACCCATTGAGATCCTACAACCCGTCACATTCAGCACGTTTTATGGACTATATTGTCAACAATAATTTTATCAACACTCACGAATTTTCTTACCTCATTCTTAATTCTAGACTTTATTAACTATCAAATTATTCTGATCAATATGTCACTGTCTGATCATTGTATAGTTTTCACGTCTATAGCTTTAGCTTCCATCTCTCCAAGTTTTAATTATGTCTTGATGATGAAAAAGCTTATCTTCTTGTACCAAGATATGACAGCTGATAACTGGTCTACATTTGCTGACGTTATGGATACCCGTTGTAAAAAATTAAGACTCATTTTCACAGATTTAGATAATATTTCTAATATTCATAAAATCAACTTTATTTGGAATCTCCTTCAAAAAACCATTATAGATGCAGCATTAAAAATTATACTGAGCAAAAATACATTTCATCATACATGTGACCTTAGACTGAAATTGCTCAAATTGGTTTACAAACGTATAAAAATTCTACATAAATTAGAATGTATTGCTAAATCATGTCTAAATAGCAATTATTTTAATAACAAATGGGATACTCTATTTGATAAAGCCTCACTTTTCTCAAAGGAATATGATTATCCCCTACCAGTATCAGATACTTACACTTTAAATTTTGTATCAACAACGTCACCCCTTATTAAAGATCTAAAAAAGATTTTAATAGCCGCTGCAAAAATACAAGAAGTAGAATATAAATCAAAGTCTATACAAAAAGCAATAGATTACAGATGTGAAAATTTTACCACGAATCAATCAGCTATGTATGACTCTCTTCTTGAACATCCCTGTACAACTATTCTTCTAGATCGTTGTATCAATAATAACAGTTTAACGAAAGAGCTACTTACAGACCTGATAAATGTTAAAAGAGAAACAACTTAACATTTTCAATAAGTTGTAGGATCTAAATACTCCAACCTACTGATTTCAGATTTATGGAAAGAATACACACTATTGAAAGACATTGATCCTAGCATTTATAATTATCTTATGCAACCTCCTACTGAAGAGGAATGGTCTGACATTATTCAATTATTACCTAACGACAAAGTTCCTGACCCTTCAAAAATATCAAATGAAATGTTGAAACATCTTGGTCCTTTTGCATTTAAATGTTTCTGGAAAATTGCCTCTAGTTGTCTTTTGCATAACTTAACTCCTTATAGATAGAACCTGACTTTCGTATATCCAATTCTAAAACTAAAACTATGAGAATTCTATCTCAATCATACTAAACTGATCATCCTGTTAGAATATTCTAGAAAAGCTCTTATTAAACTCATTAATAGTCGACTTCTCACTATTCTAACTAAATATAATATTCTCAAAGAAAACAACTTTGCTAGTCTTCCCTTTAGAAGCACATTTGAACTAATTAACATTCTTAATAATATTAAATATGATGCATCATTTTACCATAATAACCTTTGATCCTATTTCAAGACATGTCGAAAGTATATGACAGAGTTAATCTTGAAATATTAATTAGAGTGCTATCTAGAATACACCTTCCCATGACTTTTGTTTATCTTATAATTTCAATCTTCACCCTCAGTTTAACCAAATATTTACTGCATATGGTAATACTGATGCCTACTATATTCTTTCGGGTATTAACTAAGGTGAAATTATCTCTCCAATATTATGATGCATATACTATAACCCACTGTTATCTGCAATACGCACGACCATCAGTTTTAGCTTGAAAGAACTTTCAAGAATCCATTGTGATTCTTGTTCAGTTAGCATAATTATTGTATTTGAGTTATCAAACGCACTATTATTTTTAAACAAATGTGAAGTATCTTTTCTTTTAGCGCGTTTCCTTAAAGTACTTGCCATTTAAAACAAAATTAAAAAATATTTTCGTGTTTTTGAACAAAGAAAATGAAAAAGGAAAATTTTAGTACTAATAATATTATATAGATCTACCTACTGTTAACGAAGCAATTGACCAGTCATAATGAAGTCATGTGGATGACGCAGTATAATGATCTCTTAATCCAGAATTCTGAAAATACTGAGAATTCTGAGAATTCTGAAAATATGAAGGATTTACGTAATTCTAAAGATCTTCTAAATACTGATGATAATTCTAATTTTATGAATTAAATGAAGTCTAAGAATATTTATTGTTATACTTATTTTTAATATTCTAAATTTTATTGTTATTTTTATTATATTTTATATTTTTATTATTTTACATATTT